TTCGCTCTCGTGTCCACCGAAGACAATGTTTCCCATTTGATTCTCCGGTTACTTCTGCCACCGGATCTTCTTATGGTACTCCATTTCTTACAGCACAGCGTGCCAACAATAAGGTGATGATCGGTTGATAGCTCTGTGCCTCTTTTAACACGAACAGCCGTTACTGAGCGTCTTAGGTGAGACGGTACGATTATCAAATCGATCATCGACTTCTGCGTACAAGCTTCCCGGTACCAGGTGTACTGATGCACTTTCAGATGCTCGAAGGAGGTGTTCCTAGTGGACAATCCGTTGTTTGGACAAAACCACAACAACTTCATGCGGTTATTGTTGAGGTCGTTAGAGCCGTTTTTCCCAGTCACGCCGTTCCACTTTTCAGGGTCTACTGCGACGTGCGCATTAAATTCGCCCATCGGTATGAGGGACTCTGTCTTCGGCACTTCGGACAGAGCACACTGCACTTCCTCAAGGAAGGTCTCATATTCTCCCTTCAAATTGGGCGCATAGACTTGTTCCAAGGTCATGGATTTAGCCTGTTGTAGCTTCAGTCGGAGGATTGCCACCCTTCCGCTTCCAATCGAATATTCTCTCGGCAAGGTTGGGTTCTACCAGAACGCCAGCACCGGTCTGTGCGCGAGTCGTGATATCGACGCGTGAGTAGAACAGCTTCCAGCCACTGAGGTTTAGGAGTCCAGAGCCAGGGCGTTTTGTTGACGAGAGTCCTACAATGTCGAGTTAGTACTTCATGGCCTTATCAAGTAATTCTTGTTCTTTTCCTCTGACTGAGAATATGTTCCAATTTCCGACTTTAGGCTCGCACTGGTGGTGTCATTCTCGTGGAGCGTTTTCTGACGTGCTGTAATGGCATCGCGCTGTCTGCCTCCTCCGTTCAGAACGGGTGGCGATTCCGTTGTTGACTGATTTCTTCGTCGTCGTTGCGTCGGTCTGCGTCAGCCGTCGTTGTGCTGCCACCCCGCTCCCCCTCCCGGCTGGCAGAGGGCAATGAGCAGGTTCTGATCGCCGACTTCGCAGTTTGCCTCAGTCCCCCAACAGCCTGGGTGGCCCTTGGTAATGCGGGCGTCGACCGAGTCGGTATATTTTTCGAAGGCATGAATACCATGAGTGGCAGATGGCTGAATTTTACGGAGACGTGCCACGGTCTCCTACCCTCCTGCTTTCTCATCCGATCTTGGGACCGGCAACGGCGCAGTTTCGTTGATAATTGATTCCACGCAAATATGTCCGGTCAGAGTTTTTTTCAGTAGGTAAATTTTGTTTTATTAAGTTCGTGCATTTTACTGTACCGTCAGAAACGATTATCATTTATAATCGTAGCTGACATGGCAGCTTACATGTTTGGAAATTGTTTACATGTGCTCTATGGGGGGGGGAGTCTGCCTCTCTGCTGCAAAGGGTTTAAGTCGTATCAACTGCATTTGGCCCATTTGCAGAACTGAATCATCTTTTTGTCGTACTGCGGAAGAAGCATTTGCTAGCCGCTGGTTTATGATTAAAGCTATTATGGATATTCTGCTGTGATGAGGCTTGAAAGTGTTAGAGGAGTGTTTGTTATTATACTCTATCCGTTTGTATGCGACTGACGACAGTTTGAGTTAAAAGCATCGGAATGTTGATACATAATTTCTTAAACGTTAAATGGAGCATACTTTCAGGTATCATTGCGTTTCTGATTTTGTTAAACGAAACGTAACTGCGAGAAAGAAACGCTATAAGATAAAGCGTAGCATTTTCATCGAATAGATCCTTCTAAGATTCGCTTATGGTCAGTTGATTCATGACTCCTTTTATAAGGTTTAAAAGCGTCTAATTGCTTTGGAGATAAATTCCATCGCTGCTGAATTAGAGAAACGTATTCTTTATTCGGATGAATTGAGTGAAAGCAGCGGGGAAGCGATGGTAAATGAAGTTTCTTTGATATGTCGAAGAGCCTTTAAGAATTAAGAATTTCCACCAAACCGTTTTCATTTTCATCTGTAAGGGTTGATACCTCAGCTCAAGAAAATGTAAGAATAAAACAACATGATTTAGTTGTGAGCTAGCAAACGGTCGAAGTTACTGGATGTAAATCAAGTTTCCGGAAAGTAAAGCACGATAAAAACGAGAGAATAAACAAACGAAAATATAGCTATGATACAAAGCGTTAATGCCGAAAGAAAATAAAGCAACACCTGTCAACAGCAGATGTTTATACATAGGAGAGAAAAATAGTAAACCTTTTTCAAAAGCCTGCAACATTTTGAAAAATGTACCGAAACGTGTTGCGTCGGAATTTTAGGTAAGCAAGGAAGTTATCAGAACTTAAATCATTTTTTAAGCCTGTTCTATACCTAAATTGTATGATCTCCTGCAACTCTATAAGCTTAGTAGTCAATTCAGGGTTATAATGCATGTCTAACTTACGAACTCAGCAAATATTTCCTTTGTTTCATCATTTACATATTCGTGTCTGCTTTGTGATAAGCTTTTCGAGAGTTTAAAAAGAAATTTTGTTTCAAGTAGTCCAGTCGAGTGGTAGTTTTTGCTGTGATTGTCCGGTCGTGCTTCATGAGTTTTCGCAGCAGAATGTGTTTCAGGACTCTAAATCCGTACGGATAACATTCGCTTTTTTCTATAACTGCGGGTCACCTGGCGGTACGATGTTGTACGAGTGTGCAGCATCTGCTACAACCAGTACTAAATCGCTGATTGTTGGTTAGCTCTGTGCTCTGTTTATAATTTAGAAAGACACTGTTACCATTGCGTGTTCTGCTAACCAAACAGTGTCACGACTTACGTATACGCATCTTGATTCTTATTTTAGCTGACGCTATCTTTTAGGATCAGTGATAAGGAAAAGACTTTGTAAAAGTTGTAAAATAAGTGAAAGCAATGAGAAATATGGCCGACAAGGTATTATAGAGCCAGCGTAATCATCGAGATACAGCGCGTTAAAAGTCAGTCAGTTTTGGTGACCGTTTATCCTTTCTGGGTCGCGCAGGCAGGTTCGTCAAACAGTGTGTCCAACGTTCCCGATCCTCTGCCACCGTTTGAGTTTCAGCTGAAGATAAACAGAGTGTTGTGTGTCGAGGCACGTCCTAAATTATTCTTTCCATCTTCAGGGTCTTCAGTCGTCTGATCGAGCAAGTACTAGCTCTTTCGCCTTTCTTTCTGGAAGTATTCGTAAGATGTGCCCTGACCATCGCAGCTGTGACTTTCAGTCTCGCTGTACAGCACGACCCTCTCAGATATCTGTACCCCGGACCATGTCGAGAAGTGAACTCAGCGTTAAATCAGTACCTGCCTATATGAATTTTTCTTGGGTGTTATCCCCCCAGTTGTTTGCAGCTCCTTCAACAAATAATAGATTATTAAAAACTGTATTGAATATTCTCAGTACTGATAAACAGAAACTACAGTTTTAAGATTTGATTTGATTCTTAGATTCAATCTATACAGTCTCTACAAGTCCGCTGATCATCACTCGATCGTAATGTCCGATCTTCTGTCTATATACTCCGTGCAGGTAATTGTTTAAGTCGACGACCGTTTTGTTATCGACCTCTAGTCCAGATTCACAGAAGTTGACTGACCAAAGTTTAAAGATCCAGCAGCAGATAAAATAGACGATCCTTTCATGTGGCAGTGCCCACACAATCGGACAAGTAGATGCGGCGGTGATTTGCTGCTCTGAAAAGACAGTCGATGTTGAACTTGAAAAGACCTCATCGTAACCAAAGCGTAAAATTGTTGTTTCTGTTGTTCAGAGATACTCACGTTTTTCATTAATTTTTTTATAAAGGTTATTTGTTCAAATTGTTGTTTCGAAAGACAGAACTGATGACATACAAGATCTGACTCATCAGAATCGTCTGGGAATCTTCTGGTTTGGCTCTCAGAGTTTTAATCGTTGATGTGTACTTTCAGGTGTTGTGCCTCGCTCGGAGATAATTTCGATTAATTTCGTTGATTTTCTGAACCGTATCCGAAACCGTACCAGAAATGCATCTCTGTGATCTGTTGTACCCGTAAGACTGCTCAATTGTGAAATTGCGCGTGGTTGCAATTGAGCACTGGTCACTGCGTCGTGTACCCGGTGCTTTGTATTTCGTATATGCTTATGCAGTACATATGCTGGTGTTAGGGTCGCTACTACGCCGATGGGTTTCGATTTCGATATCCTGCGACGTATTGCTCGCGACAAGTTCATTCATATCTTGGAGAGTTCGCCAACCGGAAAGATTGTGGTGTTCGACGTGAGCCTTTTGAAGCCGTTGGACCGAATCGTCGGCGCCAGCATCCTGAAGCAGCACGGCGTGAATAAGATCTACAAATTTCATGAGTTCACCGCAAAGCTGGCCGAGAATGCCCACTACTGTATCTACGTCGTTCCGCCGACCGTTCGCCATGCGCAGATCATCGCGCAACAGGTATGCGACAGTACGCGCGAATGTTCTTGCAGGTTCACGGTTGTGTTCGTGCCGGTGAAGTTTGCATTCTGCGACCGGGTGCTCGAAAAGAATGGCGCCTCAGGACTGATACAAGTCGAGGAGTTTAGTTGGTCGTTCGTACCTCTCGAAGCCGATCTGCTTAGCATGGAACTGCCTCGGTTTATGGTCGATGACCTCGTCAACGAAACAACCGTTTGGTCGAAGGCAGTAGCACGTTCTTTGGTAGACTTTCAGACGTTGTACGGAGTCTTTCCTGCCTTCACTTGCATCGGCAGATACTCTTGTATTGTCGAACGCTTAACCAAGACTTTGACGTTGGACATAGTAAACTCGGGCTCGAAGTTCCCATCACAGACTTTCACCGATGCCTTCCTGATCGACCGCAGCGTTGACTTCGCTACCGTCTTTCTGTCTTGTCTGACTTACGAGTCACTGGTAGATGAGTTTTTCACCATTCAGTGTGGCTACGTAGAATTTGGTCCTGAAGTGACGAAGAAGGATAGACCACAAAGACGCTTGTTAAATGCAGGCGATCAGGTGTTTGCGCTGATTCGAGACAAACATTTTTCTGATGTGTTTCGAATTTTGAAGAAAAGTACCGAGCATCTTCGGAAAGAGTTCGACAAAAGGCAGAAACTGACTACCGATGAGTTGAAACATTTTATACGAACTGACCTTAAAGATCTTAAAGTCGAACATCAGAGTTTGGCATTTCACATCACTGTTTCAGAGGTAATTGAGTTATTTGCTGTTATTGTTACTGTCGTTACATAATGCTAGTTTAGAGAAAGAGTAAAGTTTGTAATGATTGAGATGCCGCTCTGCTCTAAACTTAGCTTTATGAGCGTTATTTATTGCGTTATTCTTTCATGCAGTTCATGCTGTGTCCTCCGACTCTGTTACTGGCTAGACGGAGCTCGAATATCCTTTCCTGCAATATTCGCATAATTCAGCGCGTTTTGAACAGTCGATTACCTATCTCTTTAAGTCTAATGACAATGACTCGCTCTTGTCCAAAAAATTTGTAAAGACTACTTTACTGGTACAGAAGTCACACGAATAAGTCATAAAATACGATATACTGTTTCTCCTTCTTGGCTCTTACAGATGCTTGCCGATTCATCCGTTAGATTACAACTAATTTTCAGGCAGCTAGCTACTTCGCATGTACGGAATTGCTCGATTTAAACCGAGTGGCAGATTGACACCAGATTTTAACCACTCATTTCGTCGTCACAAGGTTTCTTATCAGCTTCGTGATATTATCAACACTGGCCACACGCCCTTTCTAATGAGCACTCCTACAGGCAGACGAATGTGTCTGTAGCTGACACAAGCACCGGGCAACACCCTACATAGTTTGGCGATGAAATATCGTATATACAATGAATACTCCTCTGTGATGGTAGGTGAAAGTTGCGGTACTACCACTATAAATAGAGAGTTTGCAGTGACGTAATGAGTGGCTGAGATTAAACTCTAGAATTTTCAGTTATGAGTATGTTGGTGAAAATCTGGTGTTAATCTGCCAGTCCTGTAAATGGATGTGTTTTTTTATATATTAGGCCGTTTATTGATAATCAGTTGTTCCCCGATGATGTTACGGCGTGCGTAGCGAAACCCGTTGTTAACGTGTGTGCTGTTTGGTGCCCTCATCGATGAATCAGC